CTCATTTTTCCAGCTTCTTTAATAAAAGCCTACCAAGTACAGTACTGCATAGTAACCAATGGAGTCTCAATGCTCTGATATGTCCTATGAGTTTAGATTGAGGTTTTCTGATTGGTTGTTATGGATTGCTGCGCTCTGCACCTCACTATTGCATTGTATGTGTGTGTTTTGCAATAGGCCCGTTGGCCTGTGGTCTCTCATGAGAACAATCTAGCTTCTCCCCAGTGCTTGGAGCCCAGCGGAGGATTGCATGGCACTTTGCAGGCTGTCACAGCAGACGTGGAGTGATGTATTGTGTCCGCCCAGATAACAGCACTCCGGCTTTGATTAAACTGAGGGGGTAAATGGTAATTAAGCCTGACTTAATAGGAGCTGTAATTGGCCTGTAACATTAGGACCAGCCTGGAAGAGCAGCACAAGTGCTGTTGTGACAACCAATTACCAGCGATACCATGCAAGTCACCAACATGTAATAACACTGGGAAGGTCTTTTGATGTAGGAAGCCGGTCCTAAGGCATGCACAGATGTCTGATGTTTGCTGCCCAATTTTGCCTACTTCAGTCAAGTAAGAAAGATATTCTCTTGTATTACGGGGCTCCCAGCCAATCATTATCAAGCTATAGAGAATAACCGTATATTTCCATCTGCTTCGAGAGAAGACAACCTCGGGTGGTGTCTACCCATACCTACTGCCCTATAGGAATATGCATGCTCGGGCAGCCTGAGCTTCTATACAATGGAACAATCATCAAAAAACTTTATTGGTCTGATCAGAGCCCATTGCCATCTCATGTTTATGCTCAGCTTGCGATAAGGACAGGTTGGTAGAGAGTTAGACAAATGGCCTCAGGGCCACACTCTGTAATACCGACTGCTGGCATTGAGACGTTGGTGGAGCTTCCTACAGTCCGGCACATACTAAAGATGGCCACCAAGAGCACATCAGGGACAGTTTTGGTCGGATTAGCCAACGTGTCAGAGGACGGTCTTCAGCCTCCGAGGTTACTGCACCTCCCGGCCAGCCCATCCTGGGGGAAGGGAAAGGGAAGGGACAAAGGTAGGAGGAAGAATACCAGTGAAAGCAAGAAAGAAAGGAAGGTAGGAAGCAAAGGGAGAACAAAGGAGAATACTGGTGAAGGAAAGGAAGGAAAAGGAAAGGGGGAGCCAAGGTAGGAGGAAGAATATAGGAGAAGGGAAGGATGCAAGGAAAGAAGGTAAAGGAAAGGGGGAAGGAAAAAGAATAAGGGGAACTAGGGTAGGAGGAAGAATACCAGTAAAGGGAAGAAAGGAGAGAAGGAAGGAAAAGGAAAAGGGGGAACAAAGGTAGGAGGAATACCAGTAAAGGGAAGAAAGGAGAGAAGGAAGGAAGGAAGGAAGGAAGGAAGGAAAGGAGGAACAAAGGAAGAAGGAAGAATACCGGTGAAGGGAAGGAATTAAGGAAGGAAGGTAAAGAAAAGGAAAGGGGAACAAAGATAGAAGGAAGAATATCAGAAAAGGGAAGGACGCAAGGAAGGAAAGTAAAGAAAAGAGGGAAGAAAAAAGAAAGCGGGAAAAGAGTAGGAGGAAGAATACCAGTGAAAGGAAGAAAGGAGGGAAGGAAGGAAATGGAAAGGGGGAACTAAGGTAGGAGGAAGAATACTGGAGAAGGGAAGGAAGAAAGGTAAAGGAAAGAGGGAAAGAAAAAGAAAGGAAGGAAACGGAAAGAAAATAAGGGAAAGGAAAGGGAGGAACAAAGGGAGAATACTGGAGAAGGGAAGGAAGAAAGGTAAAGGAAAGGGGGGAGAAAAAGAAAGGAAGGAAAAGGAAAGAAAAGAAGGGAAAGGAAAGAGAGGAACAAAGGAAGAAGGAAAAATACTGGTGAAGGAAAGGAATGAATTAAGGAAGGAAGGGAAAAAAAGGAAAGAGGGAAACAAAGTTTGGAGGAAGAATACTGGAGAAGGGAAGGAAGGTAAAGGAAAGGGGGAAAGAAAAAGAAAGGGGGGAACAAGGGTAGGAGGAAGAATACAAGTGAAGGGAAGGAACAAAGAAAGGAAGAAAGGAAAAGGAAAGGAAGAAAAGGAAAGGGGGAGGGAAGAAAGGAGGGAAGGAAGGAAGGAAAGAAAAGGAAAGGGGCAACAGAGGAAGAAGGAAGATTGCCGGTGAAATCAAGGAAGGAAGGAAGGAGGAAACAATACTGGTGAAGGGAAGGAACGAAGAAAGGAATTAAGGAAAAAGAAAGGGGGGACAAGGGCAGGAGAAAGAATGTTAGTGAAGGGCGGAAGGAAGGAAAGAGAAAAAAAGACTAAATACAATGAAATAAAAGACACAAACATGTTCTTTGTCCTTTTTTTTTTTAATCGAATCCTTAAGCTTTTTTAAGAAATCATAAATAGTTTGTATCCATTCTAAACACATAAAACATACTCAAAGTATTTACACTTCTTTCATTTCAAAGGCTTAATAAAGGTTCGTCAGACACAGCTACAAAAGAGGCTTTCACGGACGGGAACGGAGGTGGGACATGTACGGGGGGCCTGCCAGTCTCCTTCGCTCTGTGGCCCTCGCACACGTCCGCGTGTTCTTTGCTTTTTTGTTTGTTTGTTGTTGTCAAAAAAATGTGTTTTGTTTTCGTTAAAAAGTGCACAACACAGCAAATAAATAATAACATATAAATAAATTAATAAAATAAATAAATAATTTCCCTGGCACGTAAACCTTGTCGAAGAAGGGCAAACATGAAACGCAAAACAGCAATAGCGAACGTTGAAGATATGACGTAAAACCGGTGAGAGAAGAAAAAAAAAAATGTCTTCGCTGTTTTAAACCTTTTCATCTAAATTATTTTCTGACTAATACGATGTTTCTAATTAACATTTCAAACCTTTTCAGTCTCAAGTTAGTCCCAGATCGCGTCACGCGGTAAAATTAGACTTGGGAAGATGAAAACATTTGGACAAATTTTGATGGAAGGTCATCAATTTTTCAATGTTCCTTTTTTTTCCCATTGGGAGGGAAATTAAAACCCCCGTTCTGACTTGGCACTGAAAAGGGTCGATTTCCGAGACACAGCCAGTCCTGAAATTTCAGAAATATAAACCAGATTTGGTCAAATGATCTGGTTAAAATTTGGTCATTTACATTTACATTAATTTTCCCTACGCAAATATTATTGACTTTGGCCATACGGTTGATGGACATTGAACAGACTACTAATCTTCCACTTCCTTGACTAACTAGAGTAGGTAGTATCAGTTGTTGTAGAGAGTTTGCGGAAATATGGCCACGGTGGAGCTTATTGGACATCGTCACCTTGGAAGCAGAAGCTTAACTTTTTTTTTTCAAAGGATCATCCATGGGTCTCGCCGTTCCACCAACGAAGAGCTAACCGGTCTACAGAGGGCTACAAACCAACTACATATAAACTCGTCAAAACGTAGACCCCCCAAATTGTCTCACCAACCGTTCAGTGAAGAACGACCTAATAAACTATATATTGATTCCTCTATGAAAAGTGCACATTTGAAACTATTCTTCAATAAATAAGGACCTCCCCCCGCCCTCCCCCTAAAGGACAGGGTACATCTCCACGGACACCGGTGTACTGTACATTTGGGTGGGTTTCGATTCTTTGTCAGCCAAGGAGGTCAAGGGGTCACTCTATCTAGGACGTATTGGTATGTTTTATACATGAGCGCCATATGTTGGACCATATGGGCAGCTAAGGAAATTGGAGAAGATACGGAGGAGGAAATTGCATTGACTTCCAGTTTGCACAATCCAATTATGAGAAACTAAGGGCTGCATTTGGGCTAATGGGATGATAATTTGGCCAATCACCCAGTGAGAAGAATATTGACCAATTTTGTCACTTGCTTGATAAAGAAGGTCTCACCGGGCTGAAGACCTTTGTGATATAGACATGCGGGCAAACCTCCTGAAGATCCGACACGTGGGTAAATCTCCTGAAGATCCGACACGTGGGAAAATCTCCTGAAGATCCGACATGTATGCAAATCTCCTGAAGATCCGACACGTGGGCAAATCTCCTGAAGATCCGACATGTAGGCAAATCTCCTGAAAATTGGACACGTGGGCAAATCTCCTCAAGGTCCGACACGTGGGCAAATCTCCTAAAGATCGGACACGCGGACAAATCTCCTGAAGATCCGACACGTGGGCAAATGTCCTGAAAATTGGACATGTGGGCAAATCTCCTGAAGATCCGACAGGTGGGCAAATCTCCTGAAGGACTGAGACTTGGGCAAACCTCCTGAAGACCCGACACGTGGGCAAATCTCCTGAAGACCCGACACGTGGGCAAATCTCCTGAAGATCCGACACGTGGGCAAATCTCCTAAAGATCGGACATGCGGGCAAATCTTCTGAAGATCCGACACGTGGGCAAATCTCCTGAAGATCCGACACGTGGGCAAATCTCCTAAAGATCCGACACGTGAGCAAATCTCCGAAAGACCTGAGGCTGAAAAGCTGTAAGCAGTGATGTGAGCATGACTTAAGAAGACCCCAGTTCCTCTAAATGCAAAAACTTCCCAATTATGTGGGTTGGTGGACATGAGGGTCCTAGTTTTTTGGCGTAAAAGTGCAACTTAACCAAAATCCGTCCAATAAAACGTGAAGTGACTTGATGGGTATTTGATCTGTTTTCTTGGCCTGATCCTAGACAGGGTGAGATGCATTTTTCAGGGGTTGGTCACAAAAGGGAGGCCACACCTGACAGCGAACATTTTTGTATTTAAGGACTCCGGCATTTACAGGCCTCCACACCAATGGTTGGTCCATGATGAAGATTTAGGTGGGTCTTTCAGAGCCATGTTTGTGAGTATGTACGGTAAAAGAGGAACCGTGGATGAGGCAAAGGGGTAGGTGGTCTCCGAAAGGCAGGATCTTTACATTCTAGATTGGGG